CCGATGAGAGCTGCGCCGCGCGTTGAATGCTGCGTTGGACCAAGACTCTGTCTTCTTTCCGCACGTTTAGTCCTCCCCGAAGTCGAAAAACGATTTTCGCATCGTCTTCCGGAAGCTTCGGAGGCCTTGGCGCCTTCTTGATTCGAGCTCGGCCGTCCCGCCCGTTGTTCCCACCAAGAGTGCGGTTTGGCTGGGAACCGGCCGTTAGGCTTAGCGCTTTCTTTTCTGCTCGGGCCTTGAGTAAGACCGGCATCCAACCTCCCCCGACAGAGTGAAACTCCTCCGGAGTGATTTCTTCTCCTTCTACCTCGACGACTCCGTTTCCGGGAGTCAAAAGAGGTATTTCGAAGCTTCGAGTGTCCATCTTGTCGTCGGTGCGGCAGCTACGGCCGCCCTCCATTTGTCTTTTCGAGTACGAGTGCGTAGCCAAATTCGATCACGGAGCCTCCGTCAGTCGTCCCGTGGAAACGGCACCTTTTATCAGTGCTATCGCGGAATAATATTTATGACCCTGATGTCCAGTGCATAGCGAGAGCTTCGGCGATTTCTTTTAGAGTCGTTTGTCCGTCGGTGATGAACTGTGGGAATAGGCTTAGCGTTGAGCAGATCGCAGCGTCGACGCACACTGCGAGCGGCGAACATTTCGATTGTGCACTTTTTCAGCTGCAGGGCGATCTGATTCGACTGCGGTAGGTCCCAGAAAGAACCGCCGAGCTGAACACCACGCAATTTCACATAACACAGAACTTCGAAAACACCACGTTGCCCTTGCTACGTCAGTCGAGGCAACCGCCATCTTGAAACTGGTGCTCTCGTTGGGTCCGAGATCTCTCGAGAGCGTCCCGCAAGGCCCGCTAGCCAGCAACGCAAAATCCCCAGCGTTGCGTGCGTACGCAATACGCTAGCCCTTCTATTGCGTTCTGCCCATGCGCACTCACGACCCGCAATCTCCTTGCGTACGCAAAGCTATAGCGTACGGTCCACTAAAACAGTCTATTGTCTCTGTCATTTATTCCGGTATTCTCAAAGGGCTTAGAAAAAATCATACATATTCGTGTATCTCAGTTTTTAGATAAGCACCAATTAAAAACTCATTCTCAGTTCGGCTTTCTGGAAAACTGATCCACGGAACTTGCATTAATTGAACAAAAATAATTTATTTTGCGGAGTTTTTAGAGAAAGAAATTGGCCCTTGGCATTTTTGTAGATTTTACAAAGGCGTTTGATTATATGAATTATAATTTACTGCTAGAAAAGTTGGATATTTACGGAATTTGAGGTCAAGCACTTCTCTTGCCTAAATCATATTTAGGTCACCGTAAACAGTTTGTTTATCTTAATGGTTTCGTGTCTTCAACAAAGAGAATTATTTCCGGTGTACCTCAAGGAAGCATCTTAGGGTCGTTATTGTATATATACATTACTGATATTGTAAACATAAATCCACAGACTAAATTCGTAATATACGCGGCTGACAGGAGCCTCTCATTTTCTGGCGAGACTGGCGACGAGCTTATCAGCTGCGCAAGCGTGACCCTAACAGCGTTGCAAAAATGGTCCTCAGATAACGAGCTAAACATCGATGCGCGTAAAACGAAGGCAATCATCTTTCGGCCTAAGAACAAAAATGTTTCTACAACTAAGACCCTTGTCCTAAATAAATGTATATAAATATTGTCGATAACTTTAAAAGTTTAGGTGTAATTTTCAATCAGTACTTATCTTGGGATAATCATGTAAATGATTTACGCACAAGATTTTCAAAGGTCATTAGACTAGCCTCTCGTAACCGTTTTATTCTACTGAGAAATGTAAGCTTCTTTTATACCAGACTTTATTTCTTTCTCACCTGAATTATTGTTATCTAGTTTGGGGCACAACCACCTGCACGAGTTTAAAAGGAAATACTCATTTTGCAAACAAAAAAAAAAGTGCGCCTCATTAAGAATGTTTTTACGACTCTAGCACCCAGGGTCTGTTCATAAAAAAATAATATGCTTTCTGTTTACAACATGTACAAGTATAGACTCGCGATCAGTTTTAAGTTAGAAAATAAAAGAAATGGGGATAATTTAGTAAACCCTGCGGAGCTAAGAAAACATGTGACTTCCTACCCAACTCGGTCGGCGGAACATTGGACTGTGCCACTGTGTCATAACAACTATTCAATGCAATCGCTCAAGTACACATTTCCTACTATATTGAACACCATAATAAAAAATAACATTGATGTTATTTCTATTGCAATTTATGAATTACGAACTGAACTAATGTGGGGTGAAGACGAATGAATCGATTTTTGAGACATCTTTCATTTTTGTATTTTACTTTGTCATGTCGGTTTTCTCGATGTTGTTCGCTGTTGCTTTGTTTTGACTCCTGTATATGCCACTAGGAAGGAGCAAGGGGATCCGTCAAGCTGTTCTCACAGCTTTTCTTTCTTATTTCCTTCATTCATGTATCAAAATGAAAAATAAAGTTTTTTTTTAATAATAAAAAATGATAATAAAATCCTCAGAGCAGGTGCTGTATTGCGGACTCTGTCAAACCGTGGTCACACTGCTTACACATCATACGAGACAGCCTGCATACAGCTTTGAACACGAGTAGCCGCGAGATCCGTGCTTCGAATTCTGCATGGCAATGAGTTCAGGGAGACACTTGGCACGCGGCATTCGAACCACAGATATTGCAGTGACTCGTATTTTCAGACTGTCTATTGCATGACGTATGAGCAGTGTGACGTAAAGCTTAAGAGTTCGGCGATTTCCGTCACCGCACTGATTGGCCACGAACGCAAACCCGAACATCTGCCGATGGATCGATTGCTACCGGGCGCAAGACGACCGGTAATGCACGCTCGTGAGTCGTGACCAATGCGTGAGTCACATTCAATCATGACGTGCCTGGTGTCATCTGCAACTGAGAAAGTCGCAATCAAATCAGCAAACTTTGCCAAAATAATAAAGAAATAGATAATTATACTACGCTTTTACTTGCAAGTTTTCTCAGACGTCACGTTTCTGGCAAATTGATCTTAATTACTGAGTCATTCGGTGTCAAATTACTTGTTAGGTACGTAATAAAAAAATTAGGTGTGTCTACCGTTAAACTTCGGTGCATTCACACTACAAAATGAGAAGCTCAAAGCACGAATGAAGATGTTACTGATCAAGGGACATAAGGAAAACTTCATTCGAGCACAGATAACAATACTTGAATTTGTATATCGTGACCCACTTTTTGCCAATTCTTTTATGTAAAATGCATTTAAAAAAATATTTTTTGGGGGAGAAAGGGCGTTTGAAATACACCTAAAATGAAAGGTATTGAAAAATGATACCGTGCAGGCAAGTGTCGTCATGCTAAGCATTTCTGTCACAAGAAATATATATATTTACACTAATAGCGTATTTAATGAAGGCTAAAACCGTGAGCGACTTTCACTTTGTAAAAATGCAATGTCAAACTTTTTTTTTTGTTATTTACCATGAGATATTTACAAAGGCCTGTAAGATAGTGACGAAGCGACATGTTTGTATCTTAATTTAATGTTAGAAGTAAAAAAACAGAAATATGAAACTACAAATCTATATTTAAACAAATTGAAGATAGCTTCCGCGTGGTCTCTGCCCTAACTCGGTGTCAAGTTACTGTATGATACTGACCACGTTGCTCGATTTCAAATATTGATTCGCACACCGCGCATCCACTTTGAGAGTTCCCTCTCACAACATGCCAGCCTCCTCCATAAACTGTGTGGGGGAAGCTTACGCAAACATATTGCTTCTGACCACGAGGAAATATGTGCCTAAAACCGCATTCCTTCGAACAGCTCTATATAATTTCAGTTTTGACCGTGACAAAATGCAAATAGCATCTTTTTCTGCGTTTCGCCGCCACGGTCACGACAGGCTGCTTTCAACGTATCCGACAATAACGCATTTGCACTTGCGAGAGAGACCTCAACAGCGGGCGATCCACAGGCAGCAGAGCAGGGGCCAGTGGTGTCCTTCGCTGCATTTGACATTCGGAACGCTCGGTCGCCCACAGGGAGCGTGGGGGAGCCAAGATTGCACACTACCGATGTCGACTGCGATAAAGCTGTTTTCCTGGGCGGCAATTCAACTGTCACGAACCCAAGTGGTCTTATAATGAAGGCTGTTTCTTTCTCTCTTACCTCCGTGCATATTTGAAACAAAGCCACGGGAGTAAAGAGATAAAAGAAAACTCGCGGTGCCTTTGAGGTTGACCTAGAATGTAGTCAAATCGCTTTGACTGCCATATATTTGTGTTTTTCGTTCGCTAGACGTTTTCTACGTGCCAGGCTCCTAAGTATGCACTTTATAAGGAAACAATACTGATACGTGCAGGGTTTTTCGTGTTTTTTTTTTTTCACATCTTTAGTAGGCAATAAACGCGCGTATGCAGTTTGCAAACAAGCGGGCAGATTGTGAGCCCTCGAGCACGTATAGGATCCCTTCAACGTTCCAGGAATTGGTCTATACCCATGCTCAGTGCAGACACTCGTTACACCTCGTTTTAAAGTTTGCGGTAGTTTATACATAAACAAATATTTTGAACGTATACGTTGACACCCATACAGGGAAGTACTAAAAACCTATCAAATAGAGTTTCGTCACAGCGCATGCTAATCGGCATTACACCTTACAAATAGAGTTTCGTCGCAGCGCATGCAAATCGGCATTAGATTTATTGCAGTAGTTCTATTCTAGCCCTTTTGGCATGCCAAAAATTTAGAACTGTGCTATAAAATATGTCTAAACGCGCTGAAAACAAAAAGGCTGGCTCCTAAAAGTCACAAGTGTTTAAAAGACAAAAACCAAAACGCAAAGAGTGCTCCGGAGAAACCAGCGAAGCTTGGCGAAACGCTAGCCGCCTTATTCAGTCGCGAAGAGGTTTTCTGTTCCGTTTTGCAAGCCCTAGAAATATAATTTAAGTGGCGGGTAAAGGAAGAGCACGACGAGTGCGGCACTTACCCTCTTTTGGCGAAGGTAGTCCAGATCTGGATCAACTTGGAACTGAACTCGAGTTCGCGAACCGTGGAGAAACGCATATCCCGGAACAGCGTGCCGAAGACGAAGAAGAACTCGTCGAAGTGTGCGACCCCCAGCCAGTCGTCCCACCAACTGTAGCTCGGTCGGTAGTCGAAGTAGTACATGTACACCGTGTTATTTCGGGCGGCCAGTCTTTCCGCGAAGTAGTTCACGGGGCACTGGAAGAGGAAATCGCCGATGGCGTCTCCGGCGGCTGTCAGGGCACCCAGGCCGTCCTGCGGCTCTACGTCGCGCAGGTAGTGTGCCGTGATCTCCTTGGGGCTCACGCCCAGCACGTGATGGAACAGCAGGATCAGGTAGAAGCCCACCTCGTCCCTCGTCAACCGCCGCGGGTCGTCCTGTTTGAGGACCTTGGCCATGAAGTAGCTGATGAAGGGGCTTCCCTCGTTCTTGTTGGTCCCGATTATGATGTCCACCTGGGAGAAGTTGCCCTGCTCGATCATCGTTCTCGGGTCGTCGGGAAGGAAGTCGTCTCCGTACGACGGGAAGTAGCTGGCCGGGTTCAGGATGTTCAGTTCCTTGTTCTGTTCCATAAGAACGGAGCTGTTGGTCCATCGGAGGCACTCCATCACGTGGTGGCGGTGAGTGAAGAGGGTCACGTTCTCGGTGGAGCAGCCTACGGCCTCCGCTAACTGTTCCACTCTGTCCACGCCGGCTTTCAGGCTGGACGGCTGGAGGAGGTACGGGCTGCCGCTCTGCAGGATGGCTCTCTTGAAGAGGCCGCGGCTCATTGGCGAGACGATGTGAAAACCAATGGACATGGCTCCCGCGCTCTGGCCGAACAACGTAACGGAGTCCTCCCTGCCGCCGAAGTAGATGATGTTCTCCTTCACCCATCGCATGGCCATCAGCTGGTCCATCAAACCCATGTTTCCAGGGGCGTCCGGGTGACCAATGTTCATGAACCCGAAGACTCCCAGACGGTAGTTGGGCACCACGACTACCACGTCGCCCAAAGCCGCCAAATGGGCGCCGTCGTAGAAGAAGTAGCTGTTTCCTCCGGTATCAAATCCTCCGCCGTGAAAAAATATCATGACACTCTTGGTGTTGCATCGCTCGATGGTATTACAGTGCAGCGCCGGTGTCCAGATGTTCAGGTAAAGGCAATCCTCCGTCGTATTGGACGCGTCGATGGTGATCTTCTTCGTCACAAACGTGTCATACTGCAGGCACGGGAAGGGCTTTTGACCGGCGTTGTAGATTCCGTCCCAGGGCTTCACGGGCACGGGCCTCCTGAAGCGCAGCTCCCGCAGGGGCGGCTCGGCGAACGGGACTCCGAGGAAGGCGTCCACGGGCCTGTTGAAAACCGTCTCCGTGCGTCCCATCACGTATCCGTACTTGGTGGACACCACGGGGTTCTCCCTCCTGCCGGCACGGGCCGACAGAACCGACCACGTAGCGAGCGCCGCCAGTAACTTCCAAGTCCAAGCCATGTTTCTCCCCTGTAATCGCGCAGACAAAATATCGGAGCAGAACGCATCTCATCGTGCCGGCTCGCATTATATGTAGAGCGTAAGTTCGTCTGCTTCATGCGCAGGGATTGCGGTGATGTCGGAACGCTTTCTTCTGATTAGATGGATAATGGGTAGACCTCAAGGCAGCTAGCATTGAGCTCTGCCCACTATCCTTCCAGTCAAAGCCAATTAGAGCTGAGCATTCTGACGTCACCTCAACCCCGGCGCAAGCCTGCAGACGAACTTGCACTCCGTATAGTCGCGGAAAACTTGACAGACGCAGGGCGTCGCGAGTCCCGTACATCTTATTATCGCACAGTTACCAATAAGATTGCACTATTAGCCGATAAGAACACTAAAAAAACAAATAACTAACTAAGAAGCGTGAACATAAGAAGCCACGACCTAGGTCTCTTAAACTGTCAGTCATTACAGCTTGGAAACCCACAGACAAGTGTGCACACGTGCCGATTTCACAAAGAAAGCGAGTCAAAACACGACAAGATCCATCCGAAGCCTCCGGTAGGGGCAGGCAGACTCACCCGAAGACGTGGTGTCCCGCACTTCGGAAGCTAGACTCCCCGGTTGCTGCCACTTTCCGAGTCCCCCTTGCTCTGGCGGATCAGCAGCGCTGCACGTTTTTCCCGGAGTGTCGCATTCCTAATGAGACACGGTGCGTAAGCGCGTAAGCGCCACCGTCAACGACGGCGGCACGCCGACACGCGGAGCAAGCTCGCACGGCACGCGCGGACGATTGAGAGGAAACCGAATTAGGCTCCGCGCCGGAGGATTACAGGAAGCTGAGTGAGGCTCGAGAAAGTCGCGCTCTCTGGGCAAACAGTTCGGGAGAAAATCCGGCGGCGGCGGGGGAGAGGCGGCGGTGGCGTCTTCCGTGTCGTGCTGCGAAAGCGAACAGGGCAGGAAGCTGCTTCGCCCATGGACACAATCACGGTTAGCGGGTCACTGACGACGCCGCTACCGCCACCGCGTGCCCGACCACGCGCGCACGTCAGATTCAGCACGGAGGCACGCTGGGGCCCTCGGGCCAGCGCCTATCTTACGTGATTGGTGGCGGCGGGGTATAGGTATACCGACCTCGAGCACCGCGTTTTTCTTATTTGCGAAAGAGCTGCGGGAGAACGGAGGCTGGCCGTTTGGCAGGACTCGCGCACCGTGATGTCCGGGGGCGACACGTGACGGACGCTTGGAGTTGGTCGAAACTTATCGGGACTCACGCCCGCTGCGGTGGTGCCGGTGGCGGAGGCTGCAAATCGCTCACTTTTTGGGATCAGGCTCCCTGGCAATCGCGGCGCCATAGTTGCGAACTCACAAAGGCATCTAAGTGGAATGGTTCTGCGGCTCCCTTGTTCCTTAATTGGAGGTAAAAGGAGACTCAAGTCACGCATTTGCTGGCCGTGTCCGCGTGGTTAAGCGCGTTAATTGCTTTATTACCATACGGTAATAAATATATGGTTTATCGAAAGCTAAGCTGAAGGTTATGAATACGACCAGCTATAAATCCGCATTTTCTTTCGACATCTTTCCAATTAGAGCGCCGAATTTATTTCTATGTAAAAAAAAAAAGTATACAATTATAAATTAAAAAGAAAGATCTGAAGCTTAAAACGTACAATGAAATACAGACTATATAAGTAAGTCAAAAACTAATTCTAAATTAATAACTGACGCCTGTTAAGATTCAGACCCCTGACTAAACTTGATACCCTCTGCCCATTCCCCCTCCCAACAACAACATGCCGCGCGGAGGTCACAAAGAAAACTCACCAGGCTCCCTGGATTTCGAACGGAAAGTGCTCTGCAATCTCGAGGAACGCCTCGCACGGAGCAACTCCATAAGGGACTGCACCGCAGTCGAATTTTCCTCTATTCGGGTCAATGCCAGTTGGCTAGAAAGAAGAAAACGCTCGCACGGTCCGCGCCGGCCGCGTGCTCGACCAGCCGCCTTCGGCGTAACGCCCGGTGCTTAACCCTATCGCCATCACGAATCTTGCAGAAGAATTCCACTTATTTATAGGCAAACGCTTAACAGGAAACAGCCCACGACTCCGCCGGTCCGCGCACGGAAATAACGCTCACTTATCAGCGCGAAAGTCGGCGTCGAACTTGCAGTAAGCTTTTCTTGTTCTGACGCGAGTCGGCGGTGGCATTCGAAAGAACGTGCATTATTCTTCGATGCTAATTGTCTCTGTCAGCTTTGAACCCGTTGCCATCGCTTCGAAGAAAAAAGTTGCCGTTTAAGTGTCTGCAATCTCCACCTCTGATTGCTCTCTTTGTTGTGGAGCAGTTTCCGTTAGGAAAGCGTGGTCGTGCAATTCAAAATAGTCTAATGCAAATGCCCCCCGTGAATCATTACAAGGTCTACTCTGTCGTTTGGATTGTTGTTTTTATTTCTGAAGCACTTACTTTCGCTTTGAAGTGGCGTTGAATGGACGTGGTTTGCTGCGCTTTATCTCGATTGGGATTATTTTATTGCTTTTGGCAAGCACCGGTGCGTTCGAAAACACGACTTGTCACGCGTTCGCGAACAATGTACTCGCCTTCGAAATTGCTGGCCAAGAATTACGGACAAGGCACTTAATTTAAGACCCTAACCAAGTTGTGATGTAATCACTGGTGTGTGGCTTACAGAGAAGTGAATTCGTGTAGTTTTACTCATTCGCAAGCGTACATTTGTTGGTCCTCAAATAATTAGACACTTAATTGTTATATAAAATTGGGTTTGGAGTTAACAAGAAATCTTTGTGCTTGTATAAAAATTGCAGCAATTCAAAACGACCTGGTTTCACTCTCCGCACGAGCAACGATTTGATTTTCTTTGTCGTCCATGGACACCCGACAAAAATAAGATGACTTTTGTCTGACTTTCCGCAGAGCAAAATCAACTTTAAAAAATACATTTGTTAATATATAACTCCACTCTCACTGCATGTTATTTTATACTTTTGATTTAAACATTGATAGGCTTTTTAAAGAATAAAAAAAAATTTGCAGCTTTTCGCCACAGTCTGCGAAGTGTTATTGCGCGTAGTGACAAACACACTTTTATGCATATCCACTTTTATTTGCACTCTAAGAAATGCCTGCGAACCCGCACACCCGCAAACAACTCGGAAGACCCAATCTCTGCAATCTTCGAAATCAGGTCAGCGAATGATGACGCGGAACATCTGTTTAGACCTTAAAATTAAGTCAAAATGAAGTCTGCGCTGTGGCATTACGCAATGTAAGCATGACGCTTTGCAGCATGACTCTTTGCATTGCGCAATGCCACAGCGCAGACTTCATTTCTAGGTCTAAACGGATGTTCCGCTTCATCATCCGCTAAGCTGATTTCGTAGATCGCAGAGATTGGCTCTTTGAGTGTTTTGCGCGTAAGTAGACGTGCAGGCATTTCTTAGAGTGTACACAATCACACACAACACAACCTTGCGGTCGCTGAAGTAAAAGGAAAGTTAACACACTGTACACAGGACTCAAAGTCTCCGCCTTCTAGTAAATCAAGTGACGTATACCGCTCAGCTATATCGCTGTAACTCTCTCTGTAAATGCGGGATATTTTGCTCCTATCTGAAGTATAGGTGCCGGCCTTGCGGCACCACCGGGCTTGATGGTGCGCCCGCCATTTCTCTGCAGAGGGAAAAACTATACTCTGCCGTGCGAGTTCGTCTGCTCCTTGCACACCTTCTGCTTTTGTTAAGCCTCCCAAATGAGTTCACATGATTTTGCTTCCCCGACCGACCTCAACCAATGGCAGCGAGCGCTAGGCTGTCTCGTCATCGAAAGCTCCCCACGCGTCCTCTACGTTGTCCATTGACTGGCGTGCCCCTGCTTGCGTTCCGATGCTCCAAAGACGTATTTTGGAACACTTGCTCGCCGTATAAAGTTGCCGACAAACTAAAAAAAAAACACTCAAAATAAAAAACAAAATGAATTTTTTTTTTAAGGGCATAGAAGGTTTTTTTGTTTTTTTAAGGGTATTATTGTTTCTATAAATCTTACACAAAAAAAAGGATTTTTTTTATTTTTTACGTATTTGGACGCAATTTAGTGGAGGTCACTGCTTATTACTAGTGGATTCGCCGTTAGACGCAATTTAGATGGAGGTCACCGCCCATTACTGCTGGATTGGCTTGTCTGCTCGGCCGAACATGGTCAAAGCCTATTGTATCCCCTTCGCGATATTCGGTGCGTATAATCTGAAAGTGCGACACTGCCTGCTAGTGGTGCGAGCAGACGCGCGGCAGGGCAGCCTCTGGCATCGTCTGCTATTCCACCGCCGTCTATCGTCGTCTGCATTGCCCAAGCGCGAACATGAAAGCCAACGTTACTAAAACACTCAGTTAGGAAACTCGCCGTCGAAACCTGGGCCGCTGGCGTCCACCGAGACCGAGCTAAATGCGACAACAGCGCCACTCTTTATCATTTGTCTGTACTGTGGTCACCTTGAGCTTTTTGAAAGCCTGTTTTTGCTTAAAAACAAACGAAAAAGACTCTTTTTGTATGAAGTTTATTGGAGTTTAGTACAAAAAGAGGGGCGCGTTATGTTTTTAAAATTTTTAGTGTGCAGGGTTTTGCGGCACAATTAATATTGTTTTTATACAACCATGCCTCAGCGGGCCTTTTAGGTAGCACGTCCTGCCCTAGGTGCATTTTAACTTCGGTAGTTGAACGCGGCGCGTCCGCCGGGACGACCGGGGTGGCACCCCTGTAACCTCTACCGCTGTATCTGTTCTTAGCTAAAATAGAAGTCTCGTGCAGTTCCTCGAGTGGCCGCTGCGGGAGAAATGGTGGCGTTGTGTTCGTCATTAGCTCGGTGCTTGGAGACAGTTTGGGGCCACTTTTTCAAAGCTGTCTCTATGGGAGTTTCCCAACTGAGTGTTTTAGTAACGTTGATGAAAGCTGTGCGTCGGCGTCTGTTTTCACCTTCGACCGTCTGCTATTCCGCCCCCGACGTAAAACTTCTGCAACGCTCGCAAGACGCGACCATGAAAGCGGTGTTCTGGCGTTCCATTACCACGAGCAATGGTCCAATAAAAGCTTCTGTCTGCGTCTGTCAATTATCGGTAAAAGTCGACCGAGGGGACTAAAAACAATGAGCTAAATAAATATGCAGTCCTTTTAGATTTTCTGTTCTTGTTGTTATTTCTTCTTGTAGCGTCCGCGATCAAGGTGTGTGAGCGTCATGACGCACAATTAAAACGCGACCTAAAAATATTCGCACTGGCAGTTTGGGTGCACTGCAAAACATGATAGCTACTTTCCTTTCGAAGCGAAAGGACGGGAACAAACTTGTACAAACTTGATGCGAGACGAGCATCCGATTGCCTTTGGCCAAATCGCTCCCATTCTTATCCGAGTAGGTATCTTCTCGGCATTGAAACCATAGTTGCAATCGCGACGGTCGCTCAATTCACAAAGCAGCAGGGCAGCTTTTATAAGAAAACCAACATCTGTTTTCAATATCAACACGCACAAAGAAACAAATCAAACCAGATCAAACGAGGTACATGGTGTCCCAAAAAAAATTAATTTACAGTCTTTTTTTTGGTTTTTCTTATTATTGCAAAAATAAACTACGCTTCGCCTAACCCTCATTCTGCGGCCAAAGGGGTCCAAACCAAATACAACAGTTTCAGCACGAACCGATATCTTATTGAAATTTATAAGTGATTAGGTGAAAACTTTTATGAGAAAATGGAGCCCATTTTCGATCCGTTTTCTGTTACTGGCGCCATAGAGCTCCATGCATTTTAGAGCTTCGTCTGCCACCATGTTCCCATTGAAA